TGCTCTCTCTAATGTGGGTGGGCCTCACCAGTCAGTTGGAGGCTTGACTAGGACAAAAAGGCTGAGTAAGGGGGAATTCACTCTCTGCCTGACTATCTTTGAGCTGGGGCATTGGTCTTCCTGCCTTTGAACTTGGACTCAGACTCAGACTAGAACTTACACCGTTGGCTCTCCTGGGTCCCCAACTTGCTGACTGCAGATCTTAGCTTCCATAACATTGTGAGCCAATTCCTTATATTAAATCTCTTTATATATATATAGCATATATATAAAAATATTTATTTTATATGTATAAAATGATATATATATTAAATCTCCTATTGGTTCTGTGTCTCTGGAGAACCCAGACTGATACAAGAGAACAAAAGACAAAACAATGTCCGGTAGCAGAATGGCTCTGCCTGCAGTTTGCTTCTTCACCACCTAAAACCTTGCAGTTTATTAAGAGATCTGGCTTCCCTCTTAAGTGGAATGTCTAGCAAGTGAAAAAGTCTGTAATTTGAGAGGGAGAACACTAAAGAGCTTCTCTTTTGACAGATGACATGATCATTCTAATGAGCAAAAAGAAAAATGTATTGCTGCCTATACACACCTAAACCAAATCAAACCAAACCAAACCAGACCACAGAGAATTTCTACCCTAATGATTTGATGCTATTTGTGAATGAGTTGGATGCATGTTATGTGGAGGACAGAATGTTGAGTTTCTCTGATGTGTTTATGACTCTCATTTTTATAAAATAGGAGTGATCTTAACAGATGATGGGCTCTGCAAGAAACAGTGGCTTGGGATCAACTAACCTAAAAAAATATTAGTAATAGAAGACCTCAGAATCTATTAAAGACACTAATTCATTTAGTGTTCAAGAGGCATATTTTGCAAGTACTTTATGTCAGGGGATTAGCAATTAAATTAAACTGCGTAAGCTGAGAGATTTCTGAGTGCTTCACTGAGATTTCAGTGGCTTGGTGGGCGTTTGGTGACACTAACCTTAAAAATTTTCCACGCTAAGATTATCTTAGTAAAACCATGGCACAGAACTTCAGCGTCCTAGCTGTCATTTTCCCTGTGCATGGGAAAGACTCAGGACAGTTTTATGAGGGAGGGAAGGCTTAGTTTTGTCTAGAGTGCCCCTTTTTTTTCTCATTTCTATGTACATAAGTGGAATGCTTTTTTTTTTTAAATTTAATTTAATTTAATTTTAGTTTTTGAGGAAGATTAGCCCTGAGCTAACTACCGCCAATCTTCCTCTTTTTGCTGAGGAAGACTGGCCCTGAGCTAACATTCGTGCCCATCATCTTCCTCTGCTTTATATGTGGGACCCCTACTACAGCATGGCTTGCCAAGCGGTGCCATGTCCGCACCCGGGATCCGAACTGGCGAACCCTGGGCCACTGAGAATTGGAACGTGTGAACTTAGCCGCTGCACCACCAGGCCAGCCCGTGGAATGCCTTTTTATCAGGATATTTCCTGGTTAGGGTCTTCATTTTTTATTAAGATACGTTATTGCTATTCCCAGTTGGATCTACCTTTAATTGGAAACAGAATATCTGTGTTTTAGGCCCATACCTGCAAATATGATGTTTCTTGGTCAACACTAATCAAAAGCTCAGTTATGAGACATAATTTTTATTTACAGAGCATTGAATGAAGGTTATGCAGCACACTCATTCCTCTAGATGCTGTAAAATCACTCCTTGAGTTAAGGCGGACTGTCAGAACCTCGCCCCTCATAGAACTGCTGTGATGAACTGGGCTCTGGCGTTTCTTGCACCTCTCCATTGAGGGCCTTAAAGGAAACACCTGACACTGATTTTGCACAGTAGGGAGATGCAGACCATAATCTGGACTCTCCTCCTTATGAAGACCCATAGAAGAAATTTTTTCTTCTGAGCAATTACCGTGCTGTAAGCATGCAAACTCTAAACCACATGACTAATTGTGTTTTCCTCATTGCACAGTCTGCTAAGAAGCTCAGAGCCAAAGTCATGAGCCACCTAAAGCAAACTTAAAGAAATTTATGATGTTTATTTTATATACAATTTTCCCTACAGAGTCAACTGATTTTTAAAAAAATTTATTGACATGAAACATAACATAAAATTAGTTATTTTAAAGTGAATGATTCAGTAATTATGAATTAGTAAATTCACAATGTTATGCAACCACCACCAATATCTAGTTCCAAAACATTTTCATTACTCTGAGTCATCTGACTTATCTGCGTTTTATCTTTTCTACCATTTTGCTTTCAATTCTTTAAAATAAAATCCTATTGTATTCATGTCAATTTGAATAAGAGAGAATTTTAATAAACAAATAATAAACAATCTACTAACAAGCTCAAGTGCAGGAGAATGAGAAGTAGTGGTCAGGGAACATGAGAAGAACCAAGAAGTCATTTTGTTGAAGCCAAATGAAGAAGGAGTTTCAAGAGGGGAGGGGTCAGCAAGAGCATCACACCAGAAATATCAAGTGAAATGAAGATGAAAATGAGGCTGCTAAATTGATTAATTAGGAAATCATCTGTGATTTTTGTGAAAATCGTGTCCCTATAATGTGTGGTTAGAGGTGAAATCTTGTGGTGATTAGCAGATGAAACAGTAAAGACCCAGAAGCCTATACTATTTAAAAAAATTGACAGTGTAGTGAAATAGAGAGAGGAGAGGCTGTGGTTTGAAGGCAAATCAAGTTTGAAGGAATATTTTTTTTAAATGATGGGGCTACTTAAGCCAAACGTAATGTAATAGATGGAGGAAACTTGAATGATGATCCTGGCTTTGCGACCAGCTATAGTGTGACCTTGAACAAGACACTTCACATCTCTAACCTTGCTTTTCTTATCTGTGAAACACAGTAGCTTAACTAGATTATGTCTAAGATGCCTTCCAGCTTTAGCGTTCTTATACTATAATCATGAATGGAAGGAATATATAATAAAATGAGAACAGTAAAGGAATTTGGAAAATACAATGATATTTTTATCATAGGTATACTCTCATTTTTATTAATCTACCTGAAATGCTGATCTTGAAACAAGGTTTTACAATTTATAATGACAGAAAGGAATCTAGTGAGGATTTAATATCAGTCATTTCACCAAAAAGTTTGTTTTGTTTTATCCAACCAACTTTTAAATGATTTGGAAAATAGTGGACAGTGTGGATTGTGGTTGATTGTAAATGGCCATAAATTCTTTGATACTCTCCTGTCAAGAGACAAGGTCTATGTTTCCTTCTCTTAAATCGAGATGGCTCCATGGCTGCCTAGCCATTGGAATGTGAGAAAGTGACACTGTTTCTTGACTCTTAAGAGTTTGGCAGCTTCCACTTTCTGTCTCTTGCAATACTGACTCTTTGAACCCAGCTGCGAGGCTGTGAGGAAGCCCCAGTGGTCCCACAGAGAGGCCTAGAGAGAGGAGAAAGCAGGCCCCCAGCCAGCAGCTCTAGTTGAGCACTGATGTGCTGGCCATGTGAGCGAACCATCTTGGATAAATATCTTCAACACCAGTTGAGATACTCTAACTGACACAACATGGAGCAGAGAAGAGTTGTCTCCACTTATCTCTGCCCAGATTTCAGATGTACGGGTAAAATAAAGGATTGTTGTTTTGAGCCACTAACTTTAAGGGTGGTTTGTAATGTAAGGGTGGTTGAAATAGATAACTATACAATGCAGTCAACATTTATTCACTGATAATCATGTCAACCAAATATAATTTGTATAGGTGCTTCTGCTATCATGCTGTATGTGTATTTGTGAAAAACCTTGTATTCCATAAAACTGCACACTGATTGCGCACAGGTTTTATGAGGAAAATAGGATTGAGGTGAGTCACTCAAAACCTGTAGAATTTTGTAGAGTCCTAACTAAAACAGTAACAATCCTATTAAAAATATCAGATATAACAAATCTCCACTGGCATTTGCACCTAAAATCACAGTGAATCCTTATCAGCCTTGTATCCTGAGGTTCACGTTCCCTTAAAATAGTTCACTTACAGTTTCACATGATAGCTGTATAAAGTGGAAAGCATAGGGTTTATTTTTTTCTTTTGTCAGGAAGATTGACCCTGAGTTAACATCTATTATCAATCTTCCTCTTTTTGCTTGAGGAAGATTGTTGCTGAGCAAACACCCATACCAATTCTTCCTCTATTTTGTATGTGGGATGCCAGCATAGCATGGCTTAATGAACGGTGTATAGGTCTGCACCCAGGGTCTGAACCTGCCAACCCAGGGAGGCTGAAGTGGAGCCACCGAGTGGGCCCCACCTAGTTCTTGAAGCCACTAAATCAACTACTTCTTGAACTAAAAAAACAGGATCTTATGCAGAATTTTCAAGGTTTTTCTTAAGGTTTTCATATGTTGCTAAAGATTTCTCTTTATCTGTGAGAAAGTTTGACCCTAATGCCTCAAAAATGAACATTCTTGGACATTCGAAAGTGAACCAAGAGGACTTCAGTGTTTCCTGACATCCTTATATATCAACTACACATGAGCTAACTGGCACTAAAGAAACACACATAGCAGGACAAACAGTGTCAATGGTGGGAGTGTATATGGTGTACAGGATCACATATAATGATTGTGTGGGCCCAAACCCCTGTTGCCATAGCCTCTGGTCATGGACTTGGGCCTTGAGACTTACCTTGTCCTGATGGACTCTCAGTTTCAAAGGCCAGAAGAGACAGCTGTTCTGTGTGGGCAACAGCTGGTGCTGCTTTGGCTTCAGCCTCTATCACGAGACCCATCAGAAAAGGGCCACCCGTGCTCTCCGTGGGACTGGGGACTAGAGCTGGGAGCAGGGCGCCAAGGGTGTCCTCCTCTTCAGAAGAGGGAGGCTCAGCGGACGGCCTTGCTGTTGGAAATTCTGGTGTGAGCAAACCTTCCCCTGGGTCAAGGATGCCTTTGTCACTGGTCTTTGAGGTAGCGTCATAGATGGATTCCTCAAAGGGGATGCTGTCAGCGAAAACAGACTTTGTGGGAAGAAACTCACCAGGTAGACCGTGTGCAGTGCTGTCCGCTGCCTCAAGCCTGGGTTGACCAAGAGGAAGTTCTGGACTCCAAGTGGCATCCTGAAGAAGGAATTTAGAAAGACAGATGTTGAGCAGGCACATTTCTTTGTCTATGAGAAGGGCTATGCTCTGTGTTTTTTTCTTTTGAATTAAATTTAGGCAAATCATTTTGTAGTTGATTTGAGACTACATAGAGTTCTGGTACAGAAGCATGTCCTGAAAGGAAAATATGTTTTGATATAGTGTTAAAATATGATCCATTGGCTTCTTCATTAACTGAGTCTGCCTGTGTAGGCTTAACTAATAACTGAAATATTTTGAATTATGTTAATCCTGTTTGGATTTATGGATTCTTTCATTTAAAGAGAAGATAGAGCCTATTCAGCACTTCCATTTATGAACACCCCGGGAACAACTGTTTTCATAAATTAAATGAACATAGCTTGAAATATAAAAATTATTAATGAATTTATCATTTTTACTAGATGTTAACTTGTACTTATGAAACCCCCATAAAAATATGTAGATAAGATCTTAAGACTTAAGAGCAAATTTATAAAATATGTTTACGTTTATATTTATTCCTGAAAGTCAAGTCAAAGTTAATATATTCTCCTTTAAGTATTCTTTTCAGTTCATGAACATGTGTTTCTTTTGTCAAAAATGGAGCAAATCCTGACTCTAATTGAAACAAAGATCTAACTAGATGGAAAGAAACTTTGAACTTTAGGATATTTGAAATTCAAGTTTTTTATATTTTATTAATACAGATACTGGAAGTGGGTAACACAGTACTGCCTATAAAAAACAGAAAAGAAATATAATTAGAATCACAAAGGGGACTTTGCTCTGTTTAGTCTGTAAGCCGATGTTTTTGATGGAAAGTTTTGAGGCTTTGTTCCTATTGGAAGAACAAAAGGACAACAACTCACTCACCTTTGTGATATCAGCAAGGAGCAGTGGAAGCCCTGATTGGGCGTCAGGATCCGGGCCTGGCAATGGCCCAACAATTTCTGTGGGTGAAAAATCACAGAGTTTGAGTGTTTCTTTCTTTTTCTTTTGTGGTTTGGGCAATAAAACAGGGCTGTAAGATGTGGTCATAATCAGTTCTTAAGGAGTGCTGAAATAAATCACTAAGAATTCAGTGTCACACAAATTAATGGTTATTGATCTGAATAATATGTTGAAGGACAGATACAGGGGGGGCATCTTGCATGTTTATGTGACAAGAACAGTTATTAAAGTGGATTTTTTAGGACGTTTAGTTTTATTTACAGATTTGGATCAAGCAGACAGGCTGACTGCCTAGGCCAGTAGGGAGGAAAATATAACTAAGCTGACAAAGAAAAATGGCTAGAATAAACACTGGAACCGAGGACTACTCGTGGAGTCCTACTTCCACCCTGAAGCCTGATTCTCAGAACATTGCAGCAGGTTCAACAAAGAGACAAACTCAGAGTACCAGACAGTCTCTGAGATGAGTCTCAAGTCCATCTTTTCTTTCCTACCTTGTCTTGCATCTTGTCCCAAGGGACCTTTGTAGAGTTTTCCAGTGTTGAGTTTGACTCTCTAAACTAGAGAAACAGAACTGGCAGAGAATGCCAGTTTCATGCCATGTCATTCTAAAATGGCATTTCCAGTGCCCACCTATTATGCTGGGAGTACTGGGCCTACTGAGGATTCTAAGTTCCTGGGTCCCTTCAGGCACCCTCTGAGGATCCTGAGTGTGTCTGATTATCTTGTGGACACCTCTAGACCCTCTGTCTTCTCCTCTCCCTGCTACTCTCTGTCCCAGGAGGCTGACTTAAATGGACTATGTCAATGGTTCCTTGCCCTCTGTCTTTGGGATGGCATACCTCATTAGGCAACACTTCACACCTAGAGGTAGTGAAGGGGCCTTGCACTGTCACTCTAGCCCCAGGGAACTGTCCTATTCCTTTGGGCATCAGGGAAACCTTTATAAACAGTCCCTTTATCAAACTCTCCTCATGTTATCTTAATTTGAATGTGCCATCTGTTTCCTTCTGGGACCTGATAAATTTACTAGATGAAGGAATCTGGGTTGAATCAATAGAACAGAACTGTCCATGCTTCTTTTCTCCACCTGGGCTCCACTGGATGACAGTGATTGAGGTGGGCTGAACCGAAACTTTTGGCTTCTCCTAGAGCTATTCTTGGTTTGAAGTGGTCACCAAAGGCTCATCAAATGAGTCACAGGAGGGAGTGAGAAAAGACAGAAATGATACTGTACATGATGGGCCTATCACAGAAATGATTGACTCTACAAAACCCAAGTTAAAGTGATAGTGACCAGGAGACAGTCACACCTCCTGCTCTCTCTATCAGAATGAGGATAAACCCAGAACTATGAAACCACCAACTGACCATCAGTGAACTGAACTGTCCCCACATCCAAGGATTGGTCTTCCTCTAGTGCTCTGCTGATCAGCTTTTTGAGGTCTAAAGCTGTGATATAGAGTTCTGTTTGCTGGTCCTCCTCCATCGTTCCATGGGGGACTCCTTCGTTTTCAATTTTGTTGGAATCAAAAGACAAGAGGTCACTTGCGGAACTTTTTGCTTCTGCATTGTCTCTCTTAAAGATGGCCGTAAGTTGCATTTCTGTGGAGCTTGAACTGTAGACAGCAGAGGACAATTGCACCCAAAGTATTGTTACATGCCATGTAAAGAGAGTCACTATGTTGCTACAAAGCTTCAGGACAGCTTCAACCCCTTTCCTGATGGGCTTTTTAAAGAATATCCAACTTCAAAACTAATTTCAATGTTGGTCAGAAATTTGAAACGTGGAAAAAGAATTGACATATATTTTAGTTCTAAAATAAAATGTCGGGATAGGAGTTAAGTTCAGCTTGAAGAGGGACTACTGATTGATTCAAGTGACCATAGATTTTTATCCTAGGTCTTTATGAAAAAGTGTTAATTGTGAAGACTTGCTGTTATTGACCAGTGTTCTTGGTGGTCTTATAAGTACAGTCCTACAATGCCAATCAGGAAGAAGGATGACTTGTCCTTTTTTCTGCAAATAGCCTCCTTTACAAAGGTCTATGAAATGGCCACGTAGGATACAGCAGTGGTACAATAGCATGTACATGTTGTAATCAAGTCAAAGCTTCAGTTCTTAAGGTCATTTCTCTTCTACTTTTCTCAAGAAATACTTTTTAATTAAAAAAGAAAACTAAATTCAACATAATCTTTTCACTCAAGCTGCTTGTAAAACAATATCTTAGAGGGAAGGTGTGAGACGAGAGAGACGGAAGTAGCACATGATTAACTATATTTATCTTTCTTAGTAATTCAACGCCTTTTTGCATGCAAAAATGAAATTGGATTCTCTATAGCTCTGTCCTCTAAGACCAGGTTTTACCTTTTATTCATGCCATAAATCCACACAGAGGGATGCAAAAGTGTTTTAAAGGCCATAGGAACCGACAGTGTGTATTCCCGGCAGTTCCTTGGGGCACGCAATCAGTCAGAAGCTACAGTTCATTATTTCATGAGTCAATTATAGGAGCCAAAGCTGGAGTCTTATTACCGAGCTCTCCAAGTGCAGCAGGCCCTTCCCAGTTCACATTGACCTTGGAACCAAGGAGCAAGCTAGTTTCTCTGCTGTATTCCTGACTTAGGATCGTCACGTGGACAAGTGTGCATTCAGACGGACAACTTCTGACATGACGTTCAAGAAATTGTTAATGCACGCTTACATCACAGATGTGTGTTTTTATGTTTTTCTAATTAGATTTTGAGTTTTATACAATACTCTTCTGCAGATCGTTATTGTTTACCTGCTTATCTCACGTAGTGATTTGACTCGAGAGTATTTTCGACCAAGTAATTGATCAATCAATGTCTTTTAATTAATAAACCTTTAAAAAGTCATTTGCTTTATCTTAGACTTATATGTAAAAGTTATTTGTAAAAGATCAACATATAAATTGTGGGGGAAAATGTACTGTATTTCAAAACATCAAAAAAGTCTGAATTACCCGTCTCGTTCTTTCTTTGGTCTTCATTTCGTTGTGCACGATGGGAACATGCAAGGGAAAAACAATTTATGAAATTTATTGAGACATTCAGTGAATCATTTTACGCACCAAAAAAACACGAGAAAGGTTCTTTTCAGTTGTCTCCAATGTTTGCCTAGAGCTTTGAAGGAAAAATGAACTGCCGTCAGAACGTGGATGGAAATTTTGAGAGCCATAAGAAGCTCAGGAAGTAAACATCATTATACAAGGTTTCTGATTAGGATCTGAGCCTTAGTTCAGATTATTTGTACTTTTGGTCTTCTTCTTAAACTCTTTGAGAGCCTCATATTCTTCCTAAAGAGACTGTAAATATCCTATACATCCTATATTTTGGATGGTGCTGGTGCCGGGATGTTTTTTAGAAAGTATTTTATAAATGGATTTCTCACCCTCTGAATAGCATTTAATGATTAGTTTATTCCTGAAGGTAATTTATCTGAGACCAGACCCTAAAACTGGTTTTGGTGACTGATTATTTCTCAAATTGCTTTAATCGGTAAGCCTTGAGGGAACGGTACCATTCACCATGGAACAGGTTGCAAACACCTGTTTACTGTGTGGGTGGTCTGCGCCCAGCAGTTTACATGCATCTGCATGTAATCATTTCAACAAAACAGTCCCCATTTTACTGATAAGGGAACACGCAGAGAGAGGAGAAGTTGTCAGCTGGAAAGTGGCAGAGCCAGGATTCAAACCCTGGCCTGCCTGACCTCAAGCCTGGGCTCATTTTGTTGGGCTACCACTTGCTTGTGCCTGAAAAAGGCCATCTGGTCACCAAACTGACACATACATTTTGGACTCCTCCTGACATGTATATGAATTTAGTTTAGAAGCTATATTCAGTTTTCTCACTTTATATTTCAAATGATAGTCGCTGACAGATACTCTACATGTGTGCTGGGGTTCGTGCTGCTGCTCCGTCTGCCTGGCCCGTGAATTCAGCCGACTCTCATCCCTGATGTAACATGACTGACATGGGCTCTGCCACTGCTTCCCCTGTGGGGCGGGGAGACTCTGTGACTGTCTCATTGGGGCTGCTCTGTGGGAGGGACTTGCTTCTGTACCAGCTGGACATTCATCCAGGCCTGCCTCTTGCTTGTGTTCCTCAATAGCTTGTCATCCACGAAGCTCTGGAGAGAGGCTGGGCTTCCTGGATCAAGATTTTAGTCCTGCTCCTTTTAAAAAAATAGCTTTATTGGGGGCCGGCCCAGTGGCACAGTGGTTAAGTTCGCATGTTCCACTTCTCGGCGGCCTGGGGTTCGCTGGTTTGGATCCTGGGTGCAGACATGGCACCACTTGGCACTCCATGCTGTGGTAGGCGTCCCACGTATAAAGTAGAGGAAGATGGGCATGGATGTTAGCTCAGGGCCAGTCTTCCTCAGCAAAAAGAGGAGGATTGGCAGTAGTTAGCTCAGGGCTAATCTTCCTCAAAAAAATAATTGCTTTATTGAAATATCTGTCATGAAACAAACTGCACATGTTGAAGGTATACGATATGATTGGTTTGACACTGTACACCTGTGGAGCCATCGCCACAATCAAGATAGTGAGCATCATCATCACTCCCAAAGGTTCACTCATGCCCCTTTGTCATCCTTCCCTCTCGTCCCTCTCTGTCTCGTCCTCCCAAAGCAACCACTCATCTGTTTTCTGTCGCTATGGATTAGCCTGTATTTTCTAGAGTTAAGTATAAACGGAATAATAATCCACTGCCTTTTATCTGGCATCTTCCACTCAGCATAATAATCTTGAGATGAACCCATGTTCTTGTGCGTTCCAATAGTTCATTCCTTTGCTGAGTCGTTGTGTATGGTAAGAACATGCCACAACTTGTTTATCTGTTGCTCTATTGATGGACATGTGTGTTGTTTCCAGTTTTCGGCTAGTACAAATAAAGGCGCTGTGGATATTTGTATACAAGTCTTTAAGGAATAAACCCTCCAATTAGATTTAATGATTGTTAATAGTTTCCCGTATTTGCTTTAAGAGATAAAGCAATATTTAAGTGGACCTTTTACTGTTCATCCTTGTAATTGTGCTACTAATACATGTCCTAACTACTTCCCGATTGTGTCGAGAGAATCAAATGAGGTCACAGATACAAAAATAGTTGTTAACTTTTAGGTCAGGTTTTATACAAATGAGAATGTGTACAAATGAAAGAAAGACAGCACCATGAGACTTACAGGATTCTAGGTCTTCTGTGGGGATCTGGCTCCATGAAAAAGCAATTTCCTTCATAATAAGTTTACTTTACAATATTCCGAGTAGTGTTATTAATGATTAAAACTTTGCTACACTCGTAAGCATATTGTTTATTGTATTCAGGGGTCAAGGTGTTTTCTGGGAGACTGTGTCTTCATTACATGATAGAAATCATTGGGAGATGTGATCAGATTTACTTGATAAGCATTCTGGCAGAAATGATAAGCACAGAGATAAACACACAGGAAAGATGCAGTTTTAAGGGATATATCTTTAAAAGTTTTACCTTGCAAAGTCTCATCACCTAACATTTTGGTTTTCTTCTGAAATAGACTTTTTTATTATTAGGTTTTCATTTATTTGAAGGGAGGAGATAATGGGCCTTTGAACATTCACCAGGAGAGCTGCTCCTATCGTTTCCTTCAGCTTTAAATGAAAAACGTATTCTTTGACTGAAGTGTTTCCTCCCGAAGACCCTGCCATCTATGTGGAATATTCTCCTATCACCTTTTATTTCTCTCTAATCCATCTGACTTCACATGGAATACTGCAGAGCAGCATCTTGCAATAAAGAAAAACGAGGCTGCTTTGGTAAATGTTAAGGCTTTCATCCTTTATAACTTTCACTTTTCAATATTCCTTCCTCTGGTCTTACATAAATCAGAGGGCCTGAGCGCTTGAAAGAAATAAGCTGGTGGAGGCCCCCAGAGGCTGTTCCCTGTGGGTGTGGGAGCCCTTCACTGTGCACCTTCCAGCTGGGAGACAATAGATGGTGAAGGGCCAGGAAGGACTTCAGGTGAGGGTTGCTCTCCCCACTTTACAAATCCCCCCAGGGCATGGAATCTCATTCTGCCACAGCAGGTTGACACATACCCTGTGGCACAGTAAAAAAATACCATATTATGACCCCACCTGTAGATGTTTTGAATAATGAGAACTTACAAGAAAGAGGTAAAAATCCTTGCCAAAAATCATAAACCTGCTCTAGAGTGTTGAGATGCTAACGGATATAGGCCTGCTTGTGGAAAAGCCGTGGGGACATGATGGAACCCTGCTTTAGCATGGCACTATTTTATTACTTCATTTCTTTTATATATTTAAAATTTTAATTTAACAACTTTTGCCTGGTAATACATTACTGTGCTTCACACATCAAAATGATATAAAAGATATCTTTTGGGAAGTCTTGCTTCCACCCACCCTGTCCCTGTCCACCTGACTCTCCTACCCCTAAGGTGCCGCTTTCTAGTAGTCTCACCTGTCTGCCTCGGGTCAGCCTGATTTGTTTAGACGATGATGATATTTAGCATTTGATAGGAAACCAGGTGAGCAGACACCAAGGCAACTAATTGCTACTTTTTTGGATTTGTCTCTGCTGAGGTGTTGTCCTAAGTGGTTCATTAAGAACATCGCCAAGGACATTGGGGCCGGCCCCGTGGCCGAGTGGTTAAGTTCGTGCACTCTGCTGCAGTGGCTCAGGGTTTCACCGGTTCGGCTCCTGGGCACGGACATGGCACTGCTCATCAAGCCATACTGAGGTGGTGTCCCACCTGCCGCAACTAGAAGGACCCACAACTGAAATATCCAACTATGTGCTGGGGGGATTTGGGGAGACAAAGCAGAAAAAGAAAAAAAAGATTGGCAACAGTTGTTAGCTCAGGTACCAATCTTTTAAACAAAACAAAACAACATTGCCAAGGACAGCAGACGAGCTCTCTGCAGACAGCAGTGTTTCTGATCCAGAGGGAGGAAGGAATGCAGCTCCTGTGGTACCCCTGGAAAAAATCACCTACAGTCATGCTCTAATTAGACAATTCCTTTGTCTGAGATGTATCCAGGTTTCAGAATTTGGCAGAGCCCAACAACGAGGGGAAAAAGCACCTTGTAATCCTCATGACATTGCTTTTAAAGGAGGACAGGGAGAGAGTAATTGAAAAATTGAGAAGAGTCTCCTTCTCTTACTTACCTAAATCCTAACACATGGATTTCTTTGAATCCTGGAAGTTTCTTAAATACCTTTTGCATCTGCAGAGAGAAATACATTTATGAAGTACTCTTTGGTTCTACTGGGTCAGATCTTACCTAATTGAAAAAGCCTGAGCACTTTTGATGAGTTAGGGAAACAAATGAAGATGGAAAATTGAAGCAACGATTGAGGCCAAACTCTTTGTTCTCAGTTATTTCCGAAACCTAGAGGAAAGTGTTTTGCTATTTATTTAAAAGCTGTAATTGGGTAGTTCTGACCTACTTTCATGGTTACTTTACATAAAATATGAAATAACTTTAAGGTAGTACTTGAAAGAAACTTTTTTTGGCTACAGTGTTTTTACTTATACACAGAGTAACTATAATATTTTCTGAATTGAATTATACGATTTGGAAAATATCTATAATGTTGAAGGGATTATTAAAGTCTAAATGGCTGCTGTATCTAAATAAAATGGTAGAAGGAGACTCTAATAGACTAGATTTGCTCTTAGATTTATGTGGCCTGTACAATAAATTTTCTTAGTTAATTTGACTCTGCTAATGAGGTGCATGCTCGAATATCTTACCACTGCGAGACTCAGTTTCTCCCCATCCCCCAACAGCCTGGCTTCTCCTCTGCCTTCCCGCAGGTGGGCGGGTGCTCTCCAGGCCATTGTCTTGGCTCTCTCCAAATCCAGGGGCATTTTACGTTCCTCCTCCATGATGTCTCTGCTTTTTTCTCGTTTTTCTTCCATCTCTCTGATGACTTTCTCAGTCTTCTTTACTCCATCCTATTCCTGTCTTCACTCTCTACTTTAAATATAAGGATTCTGCAGGTTTTGGTCCTCCGCTTCCTCATTTCACTGCCTCTCCCGTTTATTCAGTAAGCTCAACTGTAGTGCTGTGCTAGGCTCTGGGAACGCATTGTCACATAGACAGGCACTGCCCCATCCACCTTACAGCTGAGGGAGGCAAGAGAGCCTGAGAGGAAGGGAGAGTAGTTGGTAGTGAAGCTTGGGAGGGAGAGCGGGGAGAAAGATGAGGCTGAAGAGGTGATCAGGGCCTCAGCCCTGTCCTCCTTCCCTGTGCCAGCTCCCCCCTGCCTCTCACTGGGGCGTCTCATTTTCTCCCATGGCTTCAATGATCACCTGAGACACAGCTTTGAGTTCTCCATATGAAAATCCCAATTTTGCCACTAACCAAATATGCCCAAACCAGAGTCATTCTCTTCCATCCAAATCTGCCTTTCCTCCTGGGCTCTTATTTGTCAGGGTCGTGAACACCCATCGTCTTCCATGCCGGAAAGGCCAGCATCCCTACATACCTTCCCTCTGTGCCCCTCCCATCCAGTCACCAACTCCTGTTCGTTCGAATCTCACATGCCTTTTGTTCTTACAATGTTCTTCTTATTCTCATGGCCGGCACCCCCTCCCTATCGTCCCTTCTGTATTGCTGCAATGGTTTTTTGGGTTTGTATGGGCAAAGAGAGGTGATAGCTCCTTAAGTACAATTTTTTTCCAAGTTAATCATTCCATATCTGCTGCTCTTCACTAAAAATCCCTTGATGGGCTCCAATGACTAGTGAATAAGGTCCAATTCTTTAGAGGGGCATTTAAGGCTCTCTACAACCTACCCCCTCCACTGCCCAAGTAGCTTACCATTTGCAGTTCCTGCCATCATTACCTCCTTGACCAATATTGTGTCCTCTAGTCACACTAACTTAACCTGTCTCTGCCCAAACACAACGTGTACTTCCTCCAAACTTCTATGAATTTTTCCCCTTTAGCCTAAGATGCAACTTCTGCTACCTTCTGCTCATTGGCTGCCATCCTCCCCCAACCTTCAAAGCCAGCTCAAGCACCTTCTCTATTACAAAGCATTTGTAGAAGCCCCAAAGTCAGTCTCAATGATTCCTTCTTCCTACCACTCTAGAACTTAGGGCATGTCCCATAAAACAGTCTGTGAGGTGCCTGTTGTCTGTCTCTGAGATGAAGCTCCTTGGGCTCCGGGGTCATGTCTTCTTTATTCATCTTTATCTGCCCCCCTCTCAGTACCTGGCAGATTGCCATCCACATAGTAGGGACTCATCAAATTTTGTTTGAGTTAAGTGCAGCTGTTCATTCTCCAAACTCATCAACATGCCACTGCATTGTCACTGTATCTAAAATTACAGCCGACTCTACATTATCTTTGCCAAGGACCAGAGCAGTGATGCACGGAGAATCCCCAAATCATTTACATTGGGCTTTGGAGTGCATCACGGATTTTTTCCCTAGCAGACTGACTTACCTTCTAAATTACATCTTCTTGCACCAATATTAAAAATAGTTTTCATTCCCAGAGTGTATCGTAACTGCAGTGATGAAGGTAGCTCAGCTTTCGGGTGATGGGGAGATAGCTGTATAGGCCTGAGTTTAAATATTGGTTTTTCTACTTTCTGGCTGCAAGACCTTGAGTTTTTTGCTTAATCTCTCTGAATATCAGTCTCCTTAGCCAAAATGGGATAACAGTACCTATACTGTCAGTCTGCTGTGAGGAATGATTGTTAAATGCCTGACACGCAGTGGGCAGAGAGTGATATCGTATTATTTATTTACTTATTCTCTATCTCTTCTACTGAATTACTAGCTCCTTGATAGCCTGATTTTCTTCCACTTCCTCAATAGCCACGTAGCACGGAGCCCAGGAAGGGCAGAGGAAGCCTTCAGTCAGTTGTTTTTGAAAGCCTCAGTGAGGGGAAGGACAGGATGAGGGTCCCCATCGTGATTATGGGCAGGGGCCTGGGTAATAAGTTTCTGTGCCTCCACTCCCACCACACCACGGGCTTAACAGAGGAGAGCTAGCAGGTTAGGTTCTGCAGAGCTGGCCTTTATTACAGGGGCAGTTGGGAAAGAGCTGTGTATGTGCTTCAGATTGGCTCTGGCCTCCTGTGACAAATAGCCTGGGGGCCACAGGCGTTTGTCCTGCTGTTCCAGTAACTGTTCCAGGACTGAATGTTCAAGTGTGAGCTGCAGGTGCTGGAGCAGAAGATTCAGGCCCTGACTCATCCCTCTTTCTGGTCTAGGATACCAGAGATGCTACTATATGTAGGAAAACAAGCAAGCAAGCACAGGACTGCTTTCCTAGAAGCTGTAGCTGCAGTGTGGGCAGCAGGCAGCATCGCTGGGGAGAGCCATCCCCCCCTCCAAGGATGCTCCATGGCACTGGCTCTGGTGGATGGGATTGTCACTTGTGTCCATGCCCTCTTTGTGAACCTGTCTGTGATTGATTAAGAATCAGTTTTGCTTAGGAGGGGGCAGAGGGTGTCTAGACAGGAGATGACAAAAGCCGTCAGTTAATTCTGCTAAATAATCTTCTGGGGACCTTCCAATCATGGAGCACTAACCACTAAATCGCTAATTAAGTGCCCAGTTAACCTTATTAATAATAGTAAATGCACAGGGGCCTCCCTGATTCTGCTGGAATGTATGTTAACGGGGCTATAAAGAGGCGGCTGTGTTGAGTTCTCATGAATGTTTGCACAGGAGAAAGCATTTAGAAAACAACTAAGCATTCCTTTTGACATTTGTATTAAATTGCTCATTAGGTTTATTGTGGAAATTAAATTACTGCAAAGCACTGTCCATTAATTCCTGATTAGGGCCGAATGGCTGTGCTGACACCAGTGTTGAGCTGTGGTGGGGCTGGTTGGCCATCTGATGGCAGGCTGCTGAGTGGTTCAGGCTGTTCAGGAGCCTAGAAGGGGAACAGATGCTCTAAGCAGAGCGGCTCCCCCTTAGAGAAGCCGTTGACTGTGGAAACCGAACCAGCAGGACTGAGGTGGTGAGTCTCTGGAGCGAGACTGAGCAGACACACTCTTCTTTGGCTAGTAAGTTTTTCAGAGGCTAGAAGGGGCTTGTTTATTTGATGATGATACAAAAATTTGGGGAAAATAGGAAGCATAGCATAGTGGTTCAGAGCAGGGGATCTGATGCCAGGCTGCCCGGGTTTGAATCTTGGTTCTACCAGCAGATAGGTGTGACATTATGGGGCATATTAATTAATCTCCTTGTGCCTCAGTATCCTCACTTGTAAAAAAGGGAAATAATATTTTTAACTTATAGGATTGTGTGAAAAATGGAATGAGTTAATACATATAAAACATTAAGAACAGTACTATTATTTCTATACACAGTGTTTTAGACTTGGACAGGGACTTTGAGGTCATCTTTAATTTCTAAATGAGGAATCTAAAGTCAAGGAAGTGACCCCCAAATTCTCCTGGCAAATTCTTAGCAGAAAGAAGACTAGAACTCAGATTTAAAAAAATTATAGTTTATTTGCGTTACTCTATATCAGGTTGTTTTAGGCACTTAGAAAATTAACCTCAGGTCAGTGAAGACAGTCCATGGCCAATTATTCAATTTTGAAGATACTCTAATACTAAGGACTAGTTGAAAAGAATATTTGAAAGAACAAATAGAAAATTTAACAGACTATTCTTTAATTCATTCTGTCAAATGAATAATGCATGTCTAAGTACTTCTTTGGTTTATAAACACCGCATGCTGAAGCTTTCTCTTTGAAGTTTGTAGAAATGATTCTTCACATTTTATTGACTGAATGCTGATGCAGGGAGAGGTTGGAGGTCAAGAATATTTCAATTATTCATCTCCTCTCCAGTTGAGAGGAAGTGAGCATTGAATTCTCCATGTATGACAAGTAGGGCCTGTTTGCTCCCTGGCCAGGCTGAGTAAGATGCTTGGGCACCCAGGCTGCCAATAACGCAGCTCCTTGTTATGGAATCCCATGCTTCCCTTTTCAGGTGCATTTCTACAAACAATTACTGAGTAGTTAGCTGCATCTCCAGTTCTGTATGAGGAGGTGAGGCTGCAGAGATGAAAGAAATTTTCCTGCCTTCCAGGGGAAGCTCATAGCCTGGTGGCAGTGAGGATGGCAGGCAAGGAGGGAGGAATGGAGACAACAAAGCCATAGACATGTAAGCAAACCATCTCAAGACAGGGTGACAAGTGTTGTGACAACAGTGGGCACCAGGTGTTAGCCCAGAGGAGAGGCACTGACCCAGAAGGGTAGAGAGAACTTTCTATGATGAAGTTTGTAAGGTGAAGTCAGGGAAGGCTATTCCCCACAGAGGAGGCAGCACATGTAAACGCTAAAGGTGAGAAAAGATTCGCAAGCAGTTTGTATATCTGGAAAGTACAGTACAAAGGAGGGGGATGGCAGTCAGCTGGTATGAAGACGAGGCTGGCAAGGAAGGCAGGGGTCTCGTCATGGCGTATAGATGCCATGGACAGCGTGGTAGTTTGGTTTATCATGCAGGGAATGAAGAGCCTTTTAATTTAATCACGGACAGGCAGATATGATGGTCAGAGACGGAAGAGACATCTTGGGACATCTCAGTTTAGTGGATGACATGGACAGCATAATTGCCTTTCACCTGTCACCCGTGAAAAATGTCATGTCTTTAAATTGCATCAAACTGCAAAAGTGGAAATAGTATGAAAGATAAAGCCTTATGGATTAAAAATTCATATTTCAACTGAGTACATTCCCTAGTTTGTGCCAACATGGACACGTTAGACATACAGAAGAGCTCCTCGGGGCTTTCAGGTAAATGAGATTTAAAAACCTGCTAATATTTTAAGACAATGTAAATGTAAATGAGTTATAAGATGGAAAAGTTGGAATGGAAAACTTTCCTGGAGATCCATTTGTCCTAACATGTTGGGACCCATTGCAGTTTTTGACTGCTTTTTAATGGTTAAAAATGGATGCCTGGTCACAAGAAGGTGGAACTATTAGCCAAAAGGGTTTATGTCCTGCTGGCTCCCAGATTCTGAGTCACGACTGGGGCTGTGGGGAGAGTCCACTCACCTGAAGCTGAGACTCTGCTGCCAGCTCCTGGAAATACGGGGACTGGGGGTCAGTGAGCTCCGCCTTGAACCTCCGGTTGGCCAGAGAGATGCTCAGCTCCACCTTCTGCTCCAGTGGGCCCCTGGGTAGCTCAGTGAATTCTGTTTCTCTTTGCTGAGTTAAAAAAGGTCTTCCATTAATATAAACCACAAGCAAATGGTTATATTATATAACATATTGCTATTGTCTCAAGAAGTGGATTAGGAAGGCTTGAGTGCTTCTAGAATAAAAGTCCTATTGACTAGAAGTGGCCTCCAAATTTCACTGGGAGACAAAGCACCGAAGCTCCAAAGAGTTAACTATTTAGAATCCTTGAGAACACTGTCATTTGATGACTGTGTGTTCTTCCTGAAAGCATTCACAGACACGCACACACACACACACACACACGATTCATATGTGTTGCTGGAGCATCACTAGGATTGTGCCCCATCCTAGCGTAACTTTATAAATACTCTTTGATGAGGACTGGATTAGACAAGATAACCTATAGATGCTGAGGTATCTAATATAATCCCTTTTAGAGAAGAGTCTGCCCTGGTTTAACGAGAACCTGTGTACTTAAGCTTCACATTAAAACTAGTTAGAAAGCACTGTCAGGTGAAGGGACGCTTTGAAATCTCTCTCTCAGAAGGAATGGCATATCTGAGCCACCTTTGGAAGCCTGTGGCTGTGAATAGACACTCTATTCTGAGGATCTGGATTTGGCTTCTGCTCACAAAGGGCCAGGGGTCATCCCTTTTGCCCTCTGGTCTGGGAACAAGCATGCGTCTCTCATTGTTCTGAACTCACATGGGCTCCCAGGGCACAGAGCAAGCCTGCAGCTGGGTTTCAAACTCGGGGTTTGATAGATTTTCAGCCTTGGGTACCCAGACGATTCTGAAATCTGCACAGCTTTCTCAAAAGAGTAAAAAATATGTCTGTGGAAAATTGAATGTCTCTGGTAATGTACAAGGTGAAATTAGGAAGCTGAAAAAAGAGAAGAACCAAGAAAATGCTGACGGGCAGAACTCAGCCGAGTGGCAGCTGGTGTAGTTTCTCCTCACTTCTTATCACAAACTCCCCTCCTCCACGGGGAGCGGACTGCGGCACAGCCTCTGACTTTAATAGGGCACGTGGAGGATGTGGAGTCACACTTACCAGGCTACTGATGTTTGTTTGACAAAAAGGTTACTCACTCATTCATTCACTCATTCAGATCATACACATCGAGCCTCTGTATGCGTGGAGCACAGGACTAGGATCTATGGGAAGTTAAGAGGAAAGTGTGGCAGAAACACCATTTCAGTAGGCAGATTTAAAGTTCACATGAGACATTTAAATAAATTCCTTAGCTGTATTACCAAGAAGTCTCGTAACTTACCCTCAGCTGCTGCACTCATTTTCCATGCCTCTCACCCAGCATCCTCACAGATGCCTCACTATCTAGGAGACAAAACCCAGACTCTTTTTCTTGACCTTCAAGGCTCTCCACAATCTGATACCAATCTGCTTGAACAATTTTAGTCTCTCGCTCTTCTCCCTGCCCTGACCACCAAATGGCTCTGTCCACTCTTGCTGAGACACTACATTTTTATGCTCGTCTCCTGACTGGAGACTCTCCTCGCTGCTCCCCATGCCCACCTCCAGCAAACACATACCTCCACTTTTTTACTTCTTACCAACATCCTGTGGGTCGTTTAAAAGACTATCTCCTCTGACCATCTAGGGTAGAAATCTTTTCCTCCTCTAAACTCCTGTAGCAGCAAATTGCTGATTGTCTGAATTGCTCATTCAGTACCTATGATATACTCACCTAGAGTCTGCTTTTCATATGCTAATCTCATTGAATCCAGCATGATTCTCACACTTCATCAAATCTTCCGAAGTAAAAAACATGAGGCCATTTAGGCACAAAACTCTCAGTGAATACAAATGACTGGGGTCAAAACCTTTGCAAACTGTCCTGGCCTATCATTTTGTCCCAGTCTATACATCTGCCATCTTCAATCATAGCACTTGGACTGTTTTGTTGTACTTATTTGCATTATAAGTTTCTTGAAGACAGAACAGTGTCTTGTTCATCTTAGGATCTTTGGTGTTAACCCAATGCCTGGTACATCAGTGGATTTTAGTAAAATGTTTTCTGAATGAAGAGTAAGTGATAGGTGCAGGTTTTAAAAAGAATCTTAACAGGAGGATGTAATGAATGCGAAATGAAATATTTAGAGGATATTTAGTCCAGAAGGAGGGACCTATATTAGATTTGAAGAATATGGCACATAGGTAACGTGAGAAAACAGGGAAGGAAAACTGGAATTGTCCTAGAAATTTTACAGTGAATATGTTTAATCTCAATTTCTTCCAACAGCACTTTTCACTGTTGATGGAATAGTATTTTTGAGAAAAATAAAACCTTTATATTCTTTGTTTACAGCAATAGTTCCACCAAATCTGCAGCCATCTGATGTAAAGGCCAGAGAAGATGGCCAGCAGGCTTCTCATCTCTGAATTTTTCTGGGAAGCTGGTGAGACTGACCCTCCTACCCTCACTGTCCAGCTTTGACCTGTGCCTTGGGGAGAGGATCACAGGAAGGGAAAGAGCTGGAGAAGTCGCCCAGACATGGGGAGTCCGCAGTGGCAGCCTGGACGAGATGTGCAGGTTCTGATTTGCTACCCCTATGCTTCTGCCCCCTTCTGAGCCTGCTGCTCACTGGGTGCTGCCACAGTCCTGACACTCAGGAGGAACCAGGATGGCGTTTCCCTGCTTTGGGACTGAGTGTCTAGGATCAAAGCTTTCTTGGGGGGTTACAAATGCCCCCCCTCCTTTTTTATAACCAACATTAAATTCTGTGACAATCCCCTCATCCTGCATGCCTTTTCACTCAAAGAGAGCTGTGGCCAGTGCTCCTCTTTGCTTGTGAACACTTTCTATTTTTCCCCATTTGACACACAAGATTTTGATCATTTTGATATTTATCTGAACTATTCATCCTGGACATGACTGAGAACGAAACTTCTACCCTTGTTGTCAGCATGAGATCACACTTCAGTGGAGAAAGAACTTGATGGGTTGATTGATAGATTCATTCATTCTAATGTTGGTGAGCACCTGCTGTCTAGAAGGTTCTGCGAGGTACTGCTTCTTGCAATTCCTCTCACTTTGTCCTTGTTTTCAATTTATTTTCCCCCTTAGTCTCTAGGAAGAAGTGAGGATGCTAACTAAAACAAAGTCACTGACTCTTAATCAGAGTGATAAAAATGTAGCCCTAATAACATTGGATGGCTGGTTTGTCCATTCTCTTTTCCTGTTTCACTAATAAAACAAAGGCAGGCATGTGAAGGGCTAGACTGGCTCTCAGAATGTCTTACTATAGGCATCTGGGTGACGTTGAGGAGTGTCTCATCAGGAGAGAGAGGCAAGGGCCCGAGGGAGATGCTGGCAACATCTGTGGAAATTAAAAAAATTACAGGCACAAAAATGAGACTGGAGGAGGTTACATTAGAGCAAGGTCAAAATATCAAATACTTTTTCCATCATTATGGAATTTCCAGATGTTAGGTGCATTCTGAACTCCTTTTTTTTAAAGATCACATAAATATGTTCTTGAGAAAAATATAACTCACACTGTTAGTCCAAGTTGAACTCATCATTCTTTCTTCCTAGACCAAATTTTGGTGCTCTCCTAGATATGTTAAAGGGTTAAATATGTATCTCCCACATACAGTTAACTATAACGGTATTACAGTTAAAGAGTTCTGGTTGTGAGATCTCATTAATTTTTCTTCTGGTGACTATAGAATGGATGCATACACAGATATTTTTCTTGAATTTGTTTGTTTGAAAATACTGGTAACGATTGCCTCCAAATTGTAGGATAATTTGGAGTGATTTGGTTTTACCTTATTCTCTTCTAGATTTTCCAAGTTTTATACAATGAATTTAAATTATTTTATAGAGTTAGAAATACAAGTTAGTTTTGAAAATGTACATTATAAATTTTTCAACTTCAATTAAGGATTGCTTTTGAAGTACCACGTCTTCATGATGATTTGAATTAAGGTTCAGAAGCAGACAAAATGAGGACATGTAACCTTACCTGTAGAAAAAGGAAGAGTGTCTCCAGGCTTTCCTACTGTCTCCTCTGGGGATATTTCACCTTTTCTATCAGCACAATAGGAAAGAAAGAAGAGGTGGTGAAAGAGAGCTTGATGACAACAGAGGAAATGCATTTAAATTTCCTATACTCAGTGGACTTAAAAGTTAAAGAAAAGGTATACTTTAAAATTGGATCTGCCTGATTTTTCATAGCCGAAGTAACTGTCAAATTATTTTCATCAGGTGAAAATTCAAACAATTCCCCAAATCGTTCTGTTTGACTCCAGGATTTTCCATAAGCATCTTGGTTTTGCGTGGTCCTGGGGAGTATTTCCACAGGAGGCAAAGCTGGTCTTTGTAAGCCCTTGTGCTTACACCGTGTCCTTAACATCAAAGAAAATCAATGACATGATCTAGGACTGAAATATTCTTACTAAAATCTCAGACCCTCAAACCTGCAAATCCAGAGAGTCATTAATTTTATCTGACAAACTAACTCTTGGGACTGCTGGGAAAATAGAGGTGTAGGAGTGCTCTGAACTCACCTTCTCCCTCAGGCACAACAGATTTACAACTACCCTTGGAACAATTACCCCTGAGAGAGGACTGGAAACTGGATAAAAAAAACCCCCACAACAAGGGACACAGCTGACTGAGGGTGGAAGAGGCAGAAATTCCTTCCTGGAGAGAACAAAGCTACATTCTAGCTGCAGTGCTTCATGGCCAGGAGCAATCCTAAGGTATGAAGCCTTCCCTGGAGGAGTGGAGGATCTGAGTGGGAGAGCAAAGCCACAATAAGCAGCTTTTGAACTCCGCACAACTGAAGCAAGTGTCATAATATCTGGCTTGGCTGGCTATTAACAACAGTGGGGAATAAACCCAGAAAAGCTATTGAACATAAGAGAAAGAAAAGCCTGCTCTTAAAGGGCCCATGCACAAATTCACCTGTTTAGGAAAGCAACACAAAATCACCAGAAAGAAAGGTACACAGTCTTTTGGTAAAAAGAGACTCACTTTATAGGCTCTAGGCATATCTCAGGGAGGCAGGAGGTGGCTGGGACCACCTCCCAAGGGACTGAGACATTGGCAGCAGACATTATTGTGACCTAGTACAGGTATGCTGACACAGAAATTGGCAGATGCCATTGGAGCTCTTCCCCTGGCCTGTTAGCACAGGGGTTTGCCCAACCCACTAGAGCACAGATTTAATCCAGTTGAACCAGGGCAGACAGCCTGCCCTAGGGATGGGCCCTACCCACAAGCAACCCCTTGGGCAACCTGTGGACCTGCATAGGTGGGGTGTGTGTGACCTCTGCAGCAGGGCAAGTGGGTCTGCTTCAGTGGGGCGAGGTGTACACACAGGGCAGGACTGCATGGACAGGGTGTGTGGGCCTGTGGGGGTGGGGCTTGTCAGCTGCAGCAGACCTGGGCTCCTTTAAACAGCCATATAGGGGATCTGCCCCACCTTCCAATGCCTAAAACAATTATGTGCTGCCATGCCTGGGGCTGGCCCCACCAAGCTGTACAACTGAGAGAGCTGACAACAGCCTTGCAGGCCAGAGGCCTACAGCAATTCTGAGCCCCTGAGTCTAGCAACCAGTCATGCTAGGGTCTTATTCACTTAACAGAAAAACTGCAGTAGGAATGTTCTATTAGACCTTGCAGCCAACTGTGCTGGGGCTCCCTCAACCCAATAAAGTGACTGAAGGGACCATAGCAGCTGTACACAGCTGAGCCTTATAACCAGCTGTCCAGGGGGACAGCCTAACCTCCCCAGGCACCTACAGTAAGAGCAACCCCACCACAACAAACAGACTTGGGTAGCCCACACAGGGGGCACTCCTGGAACATTTGGAACTGGTGACAAGAGGGAAGCCCACTGTGGGCCTCATAAGGCATATGTTACATGAGACCACTTCTCCAAGATTGAAAGACTTAGCTGATCTACCTAAAACACAGATAAAAGTGCAGAGAAATAGGCAAAATGAGGAGACAAAAGAATATGTTTCAAATAAGGGGACAGGACAAATCCTCAGAAAAAGAACAAAATGAAACAGAGATAATCAACCTACCTGATAAAGAGTTCACACTAATAGTCATAAGGATGCTCACTGATCTTGGGAGAAGAATAGATGAATACAGTGAGAACTTCAACAAAGAATTGGAAAATATAAAAAAGAACTAATTAGAACTGAAAAATACAATAATGGAAATGAAAAATTCACTAGATGGAACCAATAGCAAAGCAGATGATGCCGAAGAACAGATCAGTGGGCTGGATGAAAGAGTAGAGGAAATCATCCAAGCTGAACAGAAAAAAGAAAAAAGAATTAAAAAGAATGAGGATAGTCTAAGGGACCCCTGGGACAACATCAAGCACACTAACAACTGTATTATAGGTGTCCCAGAAGGAGAAGAGAGAGACAAAAGAGACTCTATTTAAACAAATAAGAACTGAAAAACTTTCCTAACCTAAGTTAGGAAACAGACATGCAGGTACAGGAAGCAAAGAGAGCACCAAACAAGATCAACCCAAAGCAGCCTGTAATAAGACACATTATAATTAAAATGTCAAGAACTGGGGCCAGCCAGGTGGCATAGCAGTTAAGTTTGCACGTTCTGCTTCTTGGTGGCCTGGGGTTTGCTGGTTCGGATACGGGGTGCGGATGTGGCACTGCTTGGCAAAAGCCAGGCTGTGGTAGGTGTCCCATGTATAAAGTAGAGGAAGATGGGCATGGATGTTAGCTCAGGGCCAGTCTTCCTCAGCAAAAAGAGGAGGATTGACAGTAGTTAGCTCAGGGCTAATCTTCCTCAAAAACAATAATGTCAAGAACTAAAGACAAAGAGAGAATTCTAAAAGCTGCAAGAGAAAGGCAACAAGTGACACACAAAGGAAACCCCATAAGGCTATCAGCTGACCTCTCAGCAGAAACCTTACAGGATAAAGGAGAGTGGCAAGATATATTTAAAGTGCTGAAAGGAAAAAACCTACAGCCGAGAATACTCTACTGAGTATGGTTATCATTGAGAATGGAAGGAGAGATAAAGAGTTTTGCAGACGAGCAAAAACTAAAAGAGTTTATCATCAATAAACCAGACTTACATGAAATGTTAAAGGGACTAATTTAAGTGGAAAAGAAGACCATGAATAGGAATAAGAAAATTATCAAGAAAAAATAAAGTAAAATCACCGGTAAAGACAAATATACAGTAAAGGTAACAGAACAACCACCTATGAAAGTCAAAAGACAAAAGTACTAAAGTTATCTATTTCCAAGATAGGTTAGTGGATACACACAAAAAGAGCTTAAATATGATATCAAAAACAAAATGTGGGAGGAGGGGAGTAAGAGTAGAGCTTTTAGCAAGCAGTCAAATGTAAGAGATCATCAACAATATAGATTGCTATTTACAGAGATTATTAGATATGAACCTCATGGTAATCATAAACCAGAAATCTATAATAAATGCACACACAAAAAAGTGAAAGGAACCCAAACATAATACTAAAGAAAGCCATCAAGCCACAAAGGAAGAGAGCAAGAGAAGAAGAAAGGAACAGAGAAGAACTACTAAAACACCCAGAAGAAAGTAACCAAATGGCAATAAGTATATTCTTATCAATAGCTACTTTAAATGTCAATGGACTAACAGCTCCAATCAAAAGGCATAAGGTGGCTGATTGGGTAAAAAAACAAGATCCATACATATGCTGCATATAAGAGACACACTTCAGACCTAAAGACACTTACAAACTGAAAGTGAAGGGGTGGAAAAAGATAGTCTATGCAAATGGCAATGAAAGAAAGCAGGGGTAGCAATACTCATATCAGACAAAATAGACTTTAAAAGAAAAATTGTAAGGAGAGACAAAGAAGGGCACTGCACAATGAAATAGGGAACAATCTAACATGAAGATATAACACTTGTAAATATCTATGCACCAAATATAGGAACACTTAAATATATAAAGCAATTATTAAAAGACATAAGAGGAGAAATAGATGGTAACATAATAATAGTAGAGGACTTTAACACTCCAATTACAACAATGGATAGGTCATCCAAACAGAAGACCAATAAAGAAACATTAGCCTTAATGACACATTAGATCAGATGGACTTAGTAGACATATACAGAACATTCCATTCAAAACCCACAGAATACACATTCTTTTCAAATGCACATGGAACATTCTCCATGATTGATCACATATTAGGCCACAAAACAAGTCTCAATAAATTTCCAAAGATTGAAATAATACCAAGCATCTATTCTGACCACAATGCTATGAAACTAGAAATCAACCATAGGAAGAAAACTGGAAAAACCACAAATTTGTGGAGATTAAACAAAATTCTACTGAACAACTATTGGGTCAACAAAGAAATCAAAGGAGAAATGAAAAAATACCTAGAGACAAATGAAAATGAAAATATGCCAAAATTTATGGGACACAGCAAAAGCAGTACTAAGAGGGAAGTTTATAGCAATACAGGCCTACCTCAACAAAGAAGAAAAATCTCAAATAAAAGGGACCCCTCATACACTAAATAATTTAAACCTGAAATTACACGATGTTATAAACCATTGTGACCCCAATAAAATAATTGGAAGAAAAAGAGAAAAATCTCAAATAATCTAACAGTGCACCTAAAGAAACTAGAAAAAGAAGAAGAAATAAAGCCCTGAATCAGTAGAAGAAAGGAAATAATGAAAATCAGGGTTGAAGTAAATGAAATAGAGACTAAAAAAGCAATAGAAAAAAATCAATGAAACTAAGAACTGGTTCTTTGAAAAGATAAACCAAATAGATAAACCTTTAGCTAGACTCACCAAGAAAAAGATAGAGAAGGCTCAGATAAATAAAATCAGAAACAGAAGAGGAGAAATTACAAAAGATACCTCAAAAATACAAAAGATTATAAGAGAATACTATGCAAAGCTATATACTAACAAATTGGATAATCTAGAAGAAATGGATAAATTCTTAGAATCATACAACCTTCCAAAACTGAATCAAGAAGAAACAGAGAATTTGAATAGACTAATCACCAGGCAGGAGA